CTTACTTCATTTGGCCTGTGTAAGTCCAGGCCAGTCAGATGAAGAGACAGTAATCAAACACGACAAGACAATGACAAATAGGGTTACATCCCAGCAGGCATGTTATTACTTGCAGATGATGAAACATACCCACGAGTGAAGTCTCTGTAAAAAATAGGGACAGATTTAAGAATGCACTCTTAGGGGTTAAATTTGTGCCTTTGAGAAAGATCTGTCTGTATTCAACCCATGCAAAAAGATCTGTAAAATGAATCCTTTATCACCCCAGACTGTTATCCTGTGTAAACAAGTGACGGAGTTTCCATTGGCAGTTTGGTCCCAAGAACTTCAGTGATTTAGACGACCTCACGAGGGCTGTCTGCCTTACAAAGGCAAACAACACTTCATCCAGTGTTGGGGAAGGATAAAGCTTGAGTAGAGTTGGGAAATGTGGATGCTGAAGTTTCCTGAGCAGCTTTCTTGTGACTTGAGAGATACAATAAAATTTGAGGTGGACAGATGAAGACTTATCAGTAAGACTTTTCTCCCCTTCTGGTATGCCTGCAGTTATATAAAGGAGAATAATGTTAAATGCAGCCAGAAGAGAATAAACATTGGATTTTGGCTTATGATGCTTCTTTTAGTCAGAGATGAAGGTAGAAATAATATTCTTTTTTGTCGTGAAGTGTTACAAAAGGACTACATGAGTAAGGAACACGGCATTATGTTAAGCACTTTTGGGACAGTGAAAAGTTAAAATCTATCTTTCTGCTGTCAGGCTCTTAAGTAAGGAATGATGCATTAGACTACATGATTTTATTAGATTTGCTGCTAAACCAGAGCTGCGGTGCTGTTCCTTGAACAGAATTACAGGCTTCATTTGAAGAGAGATGCAAAGCACACACATCATTCTGGAGTAGATCAGCGCAAGCATTTTCTATATCATGAGTAATGTTTACTGGAAGAAATCAAATTACTGTTACACAGACCATCTGTTTTACTTGCATGCAATCATGTAAGTGTTTTAGGACAAGCCATCCTTTTTAATCAATTGTAAATCTCTTATCGGAAAGCACTGTTTTGTGTAATAAAATCTATTTTTATGATAAATGTAAGAGTTTTAAATACTGGTTTCTTCTGCATAAATATATATTATGTTGTGAACATATTGTTCATAACATAAAAAGAGTAGGGGTGTACAGCATTAGTTATTATCTGTCAAGAACTTAATGTTAGGGCTTTTTGCAGAGCCATTTTTGGATATTTGTTGGATCTGCAACTCCTTGGTGTTCAACTATTATAACAGATAACATAATGAGTAATAGTTGGGAAGTTGCTTCATATCTGCATTTAGTAAATGACAGTCTCTATTTTGTAGTATGACTGCTGTGATAAAAGTGAATACTGTGGAAGATCATTGTCCATTGTCTAAATTCTTACACTTGGAAATACTGAAGAAAACAAGGCATGGCTTATTAGAAAATGAGCCTTTGGTATGACATAATGACATTAAAAAACTTGAATTTATGGTCCAAGAAGAAGTCAATGATAGAGTGTGAGATTTACTTCATGTTTAAGGGTATCACATTCATAGATGTACATGGTCCCATTCATTTTAGTGAGTGCTAAATTAAGCTCGCCATTTTATTTTTTCAGCACTGATTCATATATTGTCTATGGGTGCACATAGATTGCTCTTGAATTCAGAGGAAGCTGAAGGTCTGCATCTTAAGCAAAGTCTTCTCTGATTTCAAAAGAAGCTGTGTGACTGCAATACCAGAGGTTGCTCTGTATTGCATCAAATGACCCTGAAATAAAGAAACAAGCATTGTAAGTAATGCAATTGGAAAGTCCCTGAGCAGGTTGACTGTCCTTCTCAATGAGGTTGTCAAGCCTGAATTTCATTTGTTCAGACACTTCCAAATCAATGGTATTTTGTCTGGATAATTAACCTGCTTAGTCAGGCTTGAAAAGTGTATGAGGGTAAATTCTTGCACTTGTTTTTGGTAAACATGAAGAGGCAAAGAGGGAGAAACTGATGGACCATGCACCTGGAGAAATGATAGTGCCTACAGTCTGGTGCCATCCCACGGTACAGTGGACGTTTTCTGATCAGAGAAACATCACATGAAATGAAGGGCCCCTGTAAGTCCTTTTGTGAAGGCTGGACTCATGACCTGTGTATTGCCACTTATTAGAATGTCTCGTGAACTGACAGTATGTGGCACAGGGAAAGCTGCCTACCAAACCAGGCTCATCAATCCTAACACTTACCTAGACTTGATCAGTCAAAAATCTGCTGAGAACTAGGTCATCAGTGATTTTTTTTTTGTCAGTCTGCACTAATTCAGTAAAAGGAAAAAAGCAGAACAAGGTGAATGGCTTACAAAATCATATAGGTAATAGAGAGTGAAAGATAAAAATCAAACTGCAATTAGTAGTGGTCTAGTAGTTTCACCTGTTTGTTTGTTGTTGTTGTTTTTTTTTTTTAATTCAGTATTCTTTCTTTGAAAAAATTATTAAAAATGAGATTTTTTTACTTTTTTTTCCCCCCGGTTTTTCTTCTTACTTTTGCCCTTCTTTTATTCAGAGGGAAGAAAACTGCAGGCAAATTAGGTCTGTCAGAGAAACGCAGCATTGTGTTGGTTAGAACAGACCTCTGGAGGGCATCAACAGTGTCCTAACCCAGGCAAGAAAAAATTACATAACATCGCTCACGGCCATGCTCAGCTGAATTTGGAGGATGGACGTTCACCAGCCTTTCCCAACAACCTATTCTTCAGTTGTCCTTTTGTTCCCCTAGATGCTTATCTGGTTGCTTCTCATGTTCCTCAGTGTTCCTCACCCATTTCAAATCCAGCTGAGCTCTGGCTTCCCCAGTTTCATCCAAGCAGGCCAGGAGGAGGAAGTTCTGCTTTGCTCCCAAGTAGCCCTCACAGCCCCTTCATCCTCTGCTGCCCATCTGCTGTGCCTGCATGACTTCCCACTTGGCGAGCTGGGAAGTCCCAGTGTACTGGGGAAGCAGCTTCCTCTTCTGGGCCTTTTTGCTGTCTTGGCTTTCAGAAGACACATTTCAGTTTGAACTGTCAAAAAAGTTGATGAATATCCTTGGTTTAGATTTTTCATGCCATTCTTCTTACTTTCATCTTCACATCCCCAAGTCCTTTTCAGCAGGATATATCAGGGTAATGCAAAGGATATGAAAACAATCTACTTCCACAAGGTTTTATTTTTTAGCATGATTTTTCATTTGCATGTGAGTAAATTTACTACATTTTTTTACTTTTTTTTTATCTTGACTTTTTTTTTTTTTTAGCCAGAACTTTGGAACAGTCACCATAAGTTCTCTAGCAGCTTCAGTAGAATAGGCGCTATATTTTCCATCTGTATGGTCTGGTTTTATCCAGTAAAGATATTGATGTATTTACAATTGTCATAGAAGATATTGGCCTAGTTCTAAGACAGTAAATGCTAATAGTACTGCTTGCAAATGATCACATTTTTGTTATCAAGAAACAGTTCGGCAAAATTACTTAATTTGCTTAGTCGTAAAGACAGTGGTAAACTATGAATTACTGTTGTCATAGTTACAGTGTATTTTGATACAGTAGATTTGTTCATCCAAACCATAATAAAATAATTTGCTCAATAGCAAGTACAATGCATATCTTAAATTACAATTAATTACTTATTGCAATGAATATCTTAAAATATAAATGCAGAACTCCCGATCCTTTTTAAGTGCAGTAAGGAGAGAATACTGATGTTTATTTTAGGAATTTCCTGTGTCTGCAGTGCTGATTACACTGAAGTACGAATCAATGACAATGTGCAATATAGAAGACTATTTATAGTAGGTTTATAACTGATCTGAAGTGAGACGATAGGTTTTGATACCCATGACCTTTAATAGAAAGCTCTCTGAAGAGAAGTTTCCAATGTTACCTCCAAAGTAAACCCTAGTGAAAGTCCTTTGTATTTGAGACTTTGTGAGACAATTAAAATAATAATCTATTCTTGGTTTCTTTTTTTTTCTGAATTATTCCTATTTTGGCTATTCAGTTGGCAAAACAGAAAAGTTATTCAGGGGAGATCTACAAAGTTAGACAATTTGCCCATTTCAGTTTTTTTATAATATTCTTAAGTGCAGCATGTTTGGGAGTTGGCGCCTTTGCTTTTTTCCCCTTGGCCTATCGCAGCCCAGTGGCCATAGAGGATATCATCTGTGCATGTGTTCCAAATTCTCCTCTTCTGCTTCTTTACCAGATGCATAGTATTTCTGAAGGAAATGGAGCAGAAAAGTGCCATAGACGATTATCAAACTTAACTTTGAACTGGTCTCCCTCAACTCACTTGGTGGTACTGGAAGCAAAAGAAGGAAACAGAAATGATTGGTCACAATTTTGAGATATATTAGGTCGGACCAGTTTGTCCTTAAAGGGGAAAAGTCTATAGGTATTCCACAAAAAAATGCAAATAATCTTTAAGGAAAACTTTCTGGAGTGAAAAACAAGTAGAAAAGATAGTTTAGAGATGGTACAGGGAAGAGATTATGTGTAGAATGGTGAGGTTAAATGAATATTTCAGAAAGGATCTTGGCCATTGCTGTAATATCTGAACAGTGGGATAGAAACTAAAAGTAAATGCATTTAACATTGACAAACAAAACCCCAACTTATTATCCACTAGTTAACAAAGTTAAAACAAAGTTGGGATAATAAGTTGGGGTTTTTTTAAACTCTGTTAACTAATGGAATTAATTGAGTAAACCACTGAAAACTCTCCTCACACATATTATTTCTTTACAACTAAATAGGTCAGCATAAAAGGTTCTGGCCCTTACTAAACAACAATCCCCCCAGGCTGCTTATTTGTAAACCAACTCTTGGGGTTTTTACTCCTCCATATTGGCTACTATTGAAGGCAGGAGGTAGGAACTGCTTGAATTACAGTATGATTGGAAATGTTTGTTCCAGTGCTTTCATATGCCACATTTGGTCTCTATGTCCTCTCTGTCACAGGTAACCATCTTACACACAGAGCAAGAAACATAAATTCACTTGGCTGTCCTGTATCTCTAAGGAACCTGATGCATGACTGGACTAGAGAAGGGGAAGACAGAAAAACTCCAAAGACCTACATATCATCTTGCTGGCAGGGTGAGTAAATGTCCTGTCATCTCAGTCATTTGTTGTCAGGTACAAAATGACTGAGCCTGCTTTAAGCGTTGGCTCAGAAATTTCTTATCCAGTAATTATTGAGAACAAGATGATCAAAATGTCTCATGTTTCCAGGACTCTGATGCCCCACATGCATTCAGAAGCACTAAGCCAGACACCTCCTATATTTTCAGGTTAAGCCTTGAACAGGGATTTAATAAATAGGCAGTTCTGTGTAGTAGGGTTTTTTAATGCACACTGTGCTGTTAGGGCTTTTTTCAAATTGCGTGGGTGAAACAAAAATGTCTAACTATTACTGAAGGAGTCCAAACTCCTCATGATTCAAAAAGAGATCCAAGAGAGGAAAGAAAGGAAGAAAACTCATTTTCCCAGTGCTGACTGTACTTAAATTCCTACAGATGTGGGCCTGTGTTCTCTGCTTTCCCCAGGCAACTTTTTATTGCTTACAAAACACAATGGAAAAAATTACCTAGCTGAGAAGCAAGCATGTAGTAGCTTTATGTGATAGTCAGAACCTAATTAAATTATCCCCTTTTCTCACTGGGTTTGCCTATTCCAAAAGGTGGTAGAAGAAGAGACTGCAGCAGGTTCTGGAGAATTTCCTCCAGTTCACAGCAGTGAGCCAGGGGTTCTGTCAAGTAGCAACAAGCCAATTCAAGAGAATCAAGAGTCCCATGTACAAAGGATGACTTATTTTTCAAAAAGTTGATGCAAATTGAAACAGATGACTAATATGGCAGAAAATCCAAACAAAACTTGAAGATTACCTGAGATTCCTCTGTCTGGTGGTTTGTGCCTCTACAAGAGACATAATAAAAATGTTGCCCTCCTCCATTGGGATAGTTGTTGTTTCCCCGCTGTATTTGGTCCTGCCCATTTCTGCACCCTAAACATTGGCAAGGCCCTGTATGCTTCTGACCGCTCTGCTGGGGCAAAAAGCATGAGCACATCAAACCCATCTTTCCTGCACCCCAGGCCCAGTGGACACTTCTTTTGTAAAGGAAGATGTAGAGTACCTGAGTTACAGTTTTAACTGTGTGAAAGTCCACCCTGACTAGGAATTGTAAGACAACTGGCCAAAGCCTTCAACACAATAAAGCAAACAAAACAAAAGGTAAACAAAACAAAAGGTACTCCAGAGGACAAGCACTTTCCTGTCAACTGCTCTCTGATAGGGAAAGAAATACCTAACAAAACAATAGTACCTTTACAATTGCTATTATTTGATGTGTTTAGTATCAAATGTTTTTTTCTTAGCATATAAGCAATATTTTGACTCTTTCCTACTCCGTATTCTTTGAGGGGGATCTGTCTGAATGCAAAAGCTGTCTGGACTTTGCTTTATGCTCCAGTCAGAAGAAGGGCAATTATGCTATTTTTGCCCTTTTTTTTTTTTTTTTTTTTTTTTTTTTTTTTTTTATTTTCAGTAAGTATTCAGAATTTAGTGTACAGAATTTTTACAGAAATTGGGTAATTCCCTTGGCCACTCTGATCCCAACAGCAACATCAACAACCAGCTCTGTTCTCTGTTGCTGGACTCTGGAATCAATAGGAGAAGGTGTTCATATGCTGAGGAGACACTTTTCTGTTCTAGCAGCTGCTTCTTGCCTCCCTGTGGAAAAGGCAGCGGTGCAGATACAACCTGGGGTTATAGGTTTGTCCATACTTCACAAATAACTTGGTGTCTCCTTCAGCAGTGGAATTACACTCTCTTATTTTAATACAGTATTGTACTTTCTAAGCCACCACTTATTTGCCCCTTAGTTCTACTTTATTTTATATAATATCTGTGCAAAGGGTATGGGCTTGATGTGTTTTGACACAGGGGTATCATTAAATGAGGATCATTGTGACTGAGAGAAATAAAGGTGTTCAATAAGATGTCGACATAGTTGAAGATTAAAGTTAGTATTATTTTTATTCTTAAAACCATTTCTATGTGTATTGCATTTTCAATTCGCATATAAAATAAAGTAAAATCACCCTCAAATTAAAATCTTATTGACGCTTCTTGAACGTTACTGCAAGGAAAATAAGAGGGTGGCAAATGATTAAATGTATAATTAAAGGTTTTGCATTTAATCCTGTCACTGTAGTGATTTATGGTTTATTATTTTGTTTAAATAATACACTTTTTTTTCCTAGTGTTTTTCTTTCCTTCATTGTTTTTAGTGTCTGTATTATTATGATAAGGAAATTTATCTCAAGGACAACACTTTTGTTCTCAGAAGCAAATACAGAGGAGAGTTAAATCAATGCATAGAAGATGCAATACACTTCCCACTGCAGTTGGTGGGGGAATTGTGACGTGTTTACAATGTTGGGCCAGAAATGCTTTACTTGTAAGAACAAAGGGCAGGATGTAGCCTCTGTGCTTCTCTGCTGTCATATTTAGGGCTGAAACAGGTGTCTTCAGTAGCCAGTCCCAGAAAGGCTCAATAAAGACATGGGGCTGAGACACACAATCTCCCTCTGTAGCGCATGCCAGAATTGGGTGGAAACATGCAAACGCAGCAGAAACAGCCTTGAAATAGCCCATAGCCAAGCCTGAGCAGAGTCCAGTGCCTACAGGCTGTGGCGTGCAGGCTCTTCTCCAGAGGTAGGTCCCCATAGCAGGATTTTTTAAAAGGACTCATCAGGCTTTGTGGTCACCATAGCTGCCTGACAGATATGTGGGACCTCACTGTTTGCATGAATTGATGGCTCTTCCCTCCCTTTCTAAGTTGCCCAGCCACTGGGCTGTGCTATCCTCTTGCAAGGCTTTCTTGCAGCTACATGAAATTTGCAACTTTGCTCTGGCAGGGCTGTAGTATGCCTAGTGGAACAGTTCCAACTCCTGTTTTCCGGACTAGCTTGTAGTTCTGCTGGAAATGGGGTGTCTACGCTTCCTCAGGGTGGGGAGAGCCTGGAAATGAGATCCCTCACACTCAAGTGTGAGTGTTCCGGGTTATGCTCACGTAGTACAGGATATTACTTCTTCCATCTGCACAACAAGCCTGAGCAGATCTGATGTTTTGTAACTTAGGTGTTGTTTCACTGTCACATGGGCTCCTGAACTTGAGATGAACACCTTGTTGCTGAGGTGGAGCTGTTTGTGGGACTTCAAAGGAAGAGCGAGAACTCAGTTTTCTGATGAAAGTTTTCATATTTAGACATGTAAATTTTTATGTGCTCCAAAATTCCCCTTGATTAAGAACCCACTTAAAGAAATAAGATTTATTCTCTCACCAACATATGGCACTAAGATTCTCCTATTCAAGTGATTTCGCACAAGAAGTGTTGTTCTTTTCCAGAATATTGCAGGATGAAATAGCTTGGGTTTTATTTCTGGTTAGGAGTTTGAATTCACACTCATATTAACTTCACCTAGAGCTGTTAACCTGAGCAGAAAAAATATGTTGTCGTCTTCACTGTTTTAACCTAAACATGACTAGTAGATACACTTCACAGCAATGTTTAACAAAATTTAATTATGCTCTGTTGAAGGTATTGTAATTTACATTCTCCATACTATTCTATAATATTATTGTGATTCTTCATATTCTTTGTCTCACTGAAAATACTGGGGCCATTTCTTTTAATCCTCTGCAGCAATTACAGTAGAAACTTCTGCGATATCTTTACAGAATTGTAGCTGAATAAAAAGCATAAAAATAAATTTTCTTGAGAAATAGTTATGTAGAAAAGTTTAGTATATCTCTTTGTCTTTGAGCAAGTTTTTCATTGCCCTAATATTTTTCAGCTATTGTTTCTTTTTTGTTGTTTCTCTCCTTTTTTGTTTATTTTAAGGTAGCAACCAGCAAGAAAATGCTGTTCCAGGAAGTTATAAAAAGTCATAACTCGAGTAGTGCCTTTCTTAATATTTTTTGAGACTGATATTGCTGCTTTTTTGAGCAAGTGTGTGTTTGTTTTAGGGAAAGACTTGTTCACATGAAACTTGTAATTTTTCCTGGAGTTATAATAGCTAGTTTAAGATCTAGCAATCAACTTGAGAAGTTCCTGCTAATCTACTCAATCACCAGACCTTTAATTGGCAGCCTGGCATTTTCCCTGCCATCACAGACTACATTTGAATCAGAGGTCACTCAAAATTTCATAACAGCTTTCTTTAGATCTCACTGATTTAATTAGTGCTTGGTTATTATCTCTTCTTCAGAATAATAATTAAATATATGCAACAAATCTAGGCCTACACAAGTACTGTGTTTTACCATCTTATGCTGATGATACAAAACTGGGGGGAGTGGCTAATCTCCCTGAAGGCTGTGCTGCCATTCAGTGGGACCTTGATAGGCTGGACAATTGGGCAGAGAGAAATCTAGTGAGGTTCAACCAAGGCAAGTGCAGGGTCCTGTCCCTGGGGAGGAATATTTCATCAGCCTCTTCATCTTGGTTGGGTGGCCTACAGCAGAATCCCCCCAGGATATCAGCCCTGTTGGCCTTCCACTGATTCTTACCCATAAACATTCAGCCCTATAGTCACCATTATTAAGCTCTAGACACTCCCTATCATACAGGGCTACTCCACCACCTCTACTTCTTTGCCTATTCCTTCTGAAGAGTTTATAGCCATGTTTTTTGGATTTTCTAGATGCTACAGTGTTACATATGCCATATTTAAACTTAAGAGATAGAATGGATATTTTCATGGACTGAGAAGCTATCTGCAAAGTTTGAGGTCTGTAGTGTAGGATGCAAAAATTACGGTTGAGATCCCTGAGAATGCTAGTTTAAAACAAACTTTGCTGCTCAGATTGGAGTTCTGTTGAGGTAAAAAAGGTCCTTTTTAGTCTCAATGTACATCTTTTTGCCTTTTTTTAGCATGGAGCTGTTATGTGACATTACAGCTGTTTCTTCAGAAAACATTGCCAAAATCTGCTTTCTCTAGATCACAAGAAAGAGGAGACACAAAGGAGGAAATGGTACTTGTTTTCTAAAATGCATGTTTTCTGAAAAAAATGCCATTCCCAAGAGCTGAT